GCAGGAGAATCGCTTGAACCCAGGAGGCGGAAGCTGTAGTAAGAGGAGATCATGCCACTGCACTCCAGCCTGGGTGGCAAGAGTAAAACTCTATCTCAAAAAAAAAAAAAAAAAGAGAGAAAAGTATTAAACCAAAAAAAAAAAAAAAAGAGAGAGAGAATAGCTCTGTCCTACAGGAGAGAGGAATAATGTCCAAGTGGATTTTCTGGTTTTGTGGTGAAACGCACAGGATTTTACAGATGAGCTTGAGGAGATGGAGTCTGATTTTCATAGGGCCCAAAGATTGGTTGGACCAAATGTGCCATTTATTTGGCCCACAAAGAAGCTGGCTGCCCAACCCTAATCTTTTATTATGCAGATGGGGTCTCTACCTAGTTGGCACCATGTTGCCTGCTTTTTTACTGCATGTGTGGCAACAAATGAAAAAGGAATTGGGAACCTCCCTGTTGAATGTACCTGGCTTCCAGATATCTCTTTTGTATTGGCACAGCTGCCAGCAGTTATCTATGCAAGCTTTTAGCTTGCTTGTCTATGCTGGCAGCTTGATTTTTCAGGCTGCATTTTGTTGGAAAAGAAATGACTTGGGGGATGCCTTTTGCTAAAATGAAAACCTTACTGAGGACTCTTTTACCTCCCATCTGCCTAAATAACTTATTTTTAGCTCCTGTATCAGTACCTTGGAATACGACTGTATTTGGAGATAAAGAGAAAATTAAGTTAAAATGACGAGATCCTTAGAGTGGGCCCAAATCCAATAGAACTGGTGTCCTTCCAAGAAGGGGAATTAGGAGGCACAGACCCTCTGAAGGGAGAAGACAACCATCTACCAGCCAAGGAGAGAGGACTCAAAATAAACCAACTCTGTCAAAACCTTGACCTTCTGGCACCCAGCACTGTAGGAAAAGGAATTTGTGTTGTGTAAGCCTTTGTCTGTGGTACTTTGTGATGGCAGCCCTAACAAGCTAATACACATAGGCAGACTATTTCACATCAACCCTATGTCTTACTATAACTTGAGCCACAAAGCTTTTGAGTGGTGTCAGAGTCTCAGCCAGCAAATCAGATGCGAGAATTGCAGCCCCACTTTCCCTGTGCATGCCAAAGTCTCCTGGTCTCAGTCAGGGTCTCATTTTGAGTTCATTTACATCAGGATACAGACTGGAGAAGAAAGATGATACAATCTACATTCATTACCACAACAGTAGCCACTGAAGCCTCTACCTAGGAATGCCAGTCTGATTCAGTATTTAAAAAGAAGAAATTGAGGTTGTCTTCCATATGAATTAGGAAATAAAATAATTCACCCAAAATTTATTTGTTTGACATATTTTGAAATGGTTATTGCAGGGCTGCCATACTGGAGCTGCCCTGCAATGCTGTGTTTTGTGCAGGAAATTTATATCAGTTCCAAGATACAGGTGAGAATAACAGTGAGTCTGGCACTTTTCAGGTCTGAAAAGAAACATGTACCCTCTTTTCCTTCTGTAGGCTGTTACCTATGGTGTTTAATCTGCATAACAAAGACCACCTTTGCCAGCCAAGCCTCTTCCTTTCTCCCTCTTATACTGGTCTTGTCAGTAAAACCTGTTTTGGGCCTTGCTCTGAGCCCACATTCTTTCTGTAAAACCTATAGAAGGCATATTAGCTTTTGTACAAAAGTACAAATGCTGAGTGTTCATTCTGAAGGATGTTGAGTGTTCATTCTGAAGGCTCCAAAACAGAGATGGTAATGAAAGTGACCTCCGTCCTCACTGTTATACTCCCATCAGTGCCATGACAGTTTACAAATGCCATGGCAACGTCAGGAATTTACCCTATGTGGTCTACAAAGGGGACACATGAATAATCCACCACTTGATTAGCATATCATCAAGAAATAACCATAAAAATGGGCAACCAGCAGCCCTCAGGGCTGCTCTATCTATGGAGTAGCCATTCTTTCTCTCATTTACTTTGTTAATAAATTTGCTTTCATTTTACTCTGCGGACTTGCCCTGAATTCTTACTTGCACCAGATCCAAGAACCTTCTCTTGAGGTGTGGACCAGATCCCTCTCCTGTAACAGCTTCATTAGTAATTTGGCTTACAATGTAGAAATTAAGATGTAAAGGATACTCTGAATAGGAAAAAAAAATAGTAAAATGTTACTATTCTGACACTGAGGCTTATTTCCACAGCCCTCCTGAGGGATGTTATTATTTATATTCTTAATTAAAAGCTGCTTCTCTGTCGGCATTCACATTCTCATGAGAAATCCAACGCTGTTTTACTAAAAAGACATAAAATTTTCAACTTGCATGACTTATACGTGGAGAAACAAACTTGAGTATCCTTCCCAAATCCAACCTGATAGTGTCTACAAGACAGACAATTGATTTCAACTGCTGCATGCCCAAAAGATATACTGTATTTTTCTCTGATTTTTACTTCATTTATTTCCTCCCAGTGTTATATATTAAGAAACCTTGAACCCAAATGAGAATCTTTTCTGCCAAAAGGACCCTGGATATCAACTCACTCTAGATTCCCTGGATTGAAATGCTTTCCTGATAAAGGACATGTAAGAGAAGAACTATATTTCTGGAAGGGTAGTAAAGAACTGTGTGTAATTTTACAACACATAATATAATAGTTTACAAAATAATATTGATGTTTTAATTGTTTGATGCAAATATGTTACAGGAAAGAGGTCCAGATCTAGACCCCAAGAAAGGGTTCTTGGATCTCAAACAAGAAAGAATTCAGGGCAAGTTCATAAAGTAAGCGAAAGCAAGTTTATTAAGAAAGTAAGGGAATGAAAGAATGGCTACTCCACAGATAGAGCAGCCCTGAGGGCTGCTGGTTGCCCACTTTTATGGTTATTTCTTGATGATATGCTAAACAAGTGGTGGATTATTCATGTCTCCCATTTTTAGACCATATAGGGTAACTTCCTGTCATTTCCATGGCATTTGTAAAGTGTCATGGCACTGATGGGAGTATAACAGTGAGGACAGAGGTCACTTTCATCACCACCTTGGTTTTGGTGGGGTTTGGACAGCTTCTTTACTGAAAGCTGTTTTATCAGCAGGGCCTTGGTGACTTGTATTTTGTACTGACCTCCTATATTATACTGTAAGTTAGAATACTGTAACCAAGTGGGAATGCAGCCCAGTCTGTTTCAGCCTCATTTTACCCAGCTCCTAATCAAGATGGAGTTGTTCTGGTTCATACTCCTCTGACAAATATACATATTGCCAAGGCACCGCACTCAGGACCACTGCTGAGTGTCAACAAGGAGGAATATCAAGAAAATATCTGTGATTTTAAAGCTTCCAGGCTCATTTCTGGTATTGTTAAGTACTGATAACAGCAGCTAGAAATAAATGATTTAGACAGATAGTGAGGGCAAAAGAGTCTTTGGCAAGGCTTCCCTTTTAACAAAAAGCAGCCTGAGAAATTATTCTTTTCTCTAACAAAGAACAGTTTGAAAAATCACACAACAAACATAGATAAGAAACCTGGAAGCTTGCACAGGTGAATGCTGACAACTGCACCAATAAAAAAGGGCTACTGGGAGGAGCTACATATATCCAACACAGAGGCTCCATCTTCCCTATTTCTTACCACATATACAATAAAGAAACAAACAACATGGCACCAGCCAAACCCAAAACCCATCTAAAAATGATTAGGATGAGGACGGCCAACCCTTCATACCCTATACAAATGGCACACCTGGTCCAACCAATATTTTATGCCCTATGTAAATCAGATACCACCTCCTCAAGTTCATCTATAAAACCCCCTACATTTCACCACAAAAACAGAAAACTTGTTCAGGACCCTTCTCTAGAGAACAGAGAGAACTCTTTTCTTTCACCTATTAAACTTCCACTCTGAACGTCATTATTTATGTGTCCACGTCCTAATTTTCCATGACCATGAAACAACCAATCTCAAAGATCACCCCAGACAATGAGACCACTGCAGTACTTGAAGATAATACAGCACACAACACAGTTAAAATACTCAAACTTTCTCAACCAGAAAGAGCAAAATTGAAGGTGCCATGTCTTTTTCCTTGAACTTCATTTTGGTAACATCATTAAATGGTAAAATTATTATTATGAATTTGTTGATGGAAAAAGCCAAACTCTGTAAAATATTTAAAGAGGTTTATTCAGAGGCAAATACAACTGACTATGGCCTGAGGTACAATCTCAAGAGGTCCTGAGAACATGTGCCCAGGGTGGTTGGGTTACAACTTGGTTTTATACATTTTAAGGAGACATAAGACATCAATCTTTTGCGGAATACATTGGTTCAGTCTGGAAAGATGCGGCAATTCAAACTTGGTGGGGATTACTGGTCGTAGGTAGACTCAAAGATTTTCTAATTAGCAATTAGTTGAAAGAGGTAATTTATTATCTAAAGACCTAGAATCAATAGAAAGGAGTACCTTGGTTAAGATAAAGGATCCTGGACCTGGCATGGTGACTCATGCCTGTAATTCCAGCACTTTGGAAGGCAGTAATGGGTGGATCACCTGAGGTCAGTAGTTTGAGATCAGCTTGGCCAATGTGAGGAAATCTCGTATCTAGTAAAATTAAAAATTAAAAAAATAGCCAGATATGGTGATGCATGCCTGAAATCCTGCAACTCACAAGGCTAAGGCATGACAATCTCTTGAACTGGGGAGGCAGAGGTTTTGAAGAGTGGAGATCCCACCATTCCACTCCAGCCTGGGTGACGGAGTGAAAAAAACAAAAAAAAAAAAAGGATCCTGGGGACCAAGGTTGTTATTATGTAGATTAAGTGTTATAGATGGCCACCCTCAGAGATAATAGATGGCAGATTTTTCCTATTCAGACCTTTAAAAGTTGCTAGATTCTCGGTTAAACTCTTCGGGATTGGGAGGGGCCAAAAGGGGAAGATCTAGTTATATTAATAGAGATTATTTACATTTGCAACTTTCCCCCATTAAAAACCAAAAACAACAACAACAACAACTTTGCAAGGCCATTTCAAAATATGGCAAAGAAATATTTTGGGGTAAAATATTTTGATGTCCTTCTTTATCTGTCATGTGATGTTATACTTGAGTCATGTTAGAATTTGGTGTCTTACTGTTACAAAACGGTTTCATCATGCTTACTATCTCTATTTGAATGTTAATGCTGGTCAGTTGTGTGTAAACTTCAAAAGAGAAAGCGTACAATGAGGCACATCTGACCTCTATCTCCTGTCATGGTAAAGTAGCTTCATTGTCTGGGGTAAATACCTGAGATTTGTTATCTCATGCCAAGAAAAGCAGGAACATGGACACACAAGGAGTGAGTTTAAGAGCAGAGGTTTAATAGGTGAGAGAAAAGAGAAAAGCTCTCTCTCCTGTGGAGACAGAGGGGCTCCCAAATGGGTCTTCTGGTTTTGTGGTGAAATGCACAAGGTTTTTTTTTTTTTTTTTTAGACGGAGTTTCCCTCTTGTTACCCAGGATGGAGTGCAATGGCGCGATCTCGGCTCACCGCAACCTCCGCCTCCTGGGTTCAGGCAATTCTCCTGCCTCAGCCTCCTGAGCAGCTGGGATTACAGGCACGCGCCACCATGCCCAGCTGATATTTTGTATTTTTAGTAGAGACGGGGTTTCACCATGTTGACCAGGACGGTCTCGATCTCTTGACCTCGTGGTCCACCCGCCTCAGCCTCCCAAAGTGCTGGGATTACAGGCGTGAGCCACTGCGCCCGACCCATGCACAAGGTTTTATAGACAAGCTTGAAGAGGTGGTGTCTGATTTACATAGGGCCCAAGAGATTCATTGGACCAGGTATGAATAATTTCTTTTTAGCTCCTGTATTAATGGCCTGAACCAGTTTTTCAGGTTTCTTTGGAATCCCCTTGGTGGAGAGGGGGTCCATTCAGTCAACCAAGGGGCTTAGAATTTTTGTTTTGGTTTACAAAATTATAAAATAAAATGCTGATGGGAGTAGAACGTTTGCTCTAAATTCCAATCCAGAATATCTATTTAGGCTTAAAATATAAATCAACACACCTCAGCAAGACAACAGATAGATAATTTTTAAGAAGGTGTTTATGAGGATTGGATATAAGTGTGGTGGTCTAAAGTGTATAATGTATCTCATGCATTGTTATCAACAGGCATTCTCCTAAGACAAATTATTTGGAAAACAAGTGCTACTATGTCTTCCCCATCATGTCTCAAGTACAGGTGTTGCCTTAATTATTCCTCAACTCACAGATTTTGCAATAATGAAGACACCTGTCCATAACCAACTAAGAAAATGACCTTTTCAAAATGACGGAATACATATATTTTTTAAGGCAAATACATAAAAACTTTGGAAAAGCAAATGAATACAAAATCAAATAATTACATGTAGGGTTTCACATTTATTTGCCTGATATTGTTTTAATACTTTTCAGACCCTTGTATAAATAAATATCTTATTCTTCCACAATATGCATTTCAAAAAACTGTTATGTGTCTTATGTATAGAAGGTTGCAATAATTCACACATTAGTAACTAATGTCAGGTAACTTTCTATATATGTTGGGGCATAATTGCACATTAAAATGAAAATTAAAAACTATTTTTTAGCTCACTGATAACAATTCAATTAAATTCTAGGGTAAGTACAGATGTCTTGGCTCCTAATACTTTGACGGTGATTTTATAAGTCTTAATCATAAAATTTCTCTAAGGTTTATACTTCCAGTGGTGAAATTTGGATTCATTGAATAGCAAGGAAAAAGAGGCCACTAGCGTACTAATGCAGCATTCTGGAAAATCCCTTTGCTAATGAAAAGCCTGCTGTGATCAGGATTCTACAGACTGAGGGCCATACTGCTAGGACAGCAAATGTACTCTGTAACCTGACTGCACTGATTGTGCTCCATCCTTTAATTGCTAATTGGTAGGTTATTTTTTTATCAGAGAAATATACAAAGTTGAATTATAAAGAGAAGTATTATAGAAAGGTAGTCATGACTGCGTGGAATTTTATAACATGTAGTATAATAATTTATATAATCATATTGACTTTTAATTTTTTAATTGTTTTAATTGTTTGAGGCAAATACACATATTGCAAAGGCACCACAAACACTCCTTGTGAACAAACAAGAAATATAAACACTTGAGAAGTATAGAAAGAAGCAGTATACAAACTTGAAATATAAAAAGATAAGCATTATAAAAATGGAACTCTGGTAATATGTTATTCACTGTTTTTGATACTTTATTTTTATTTGAAAATATCTCAAAACTATGTTTTAACAAGTATACAGAAAGAGAGATTGCTTAATGAAAACAGGTGCCCACCAACCAAACTGGAATGATTATATTATCTTCTTCATACACATGTATGTATGCATAGATTAAATAAAATAATATGGAGAATCAGTTTTCATCTCCTTTTTTCCCTGATATAACTATAAAAATGCTTTCTATGTCTAAATTTATTTCATATATCTATTCTTTCAGTGAAAAACTACCTGAAAATGTTCTAAGCAATGATTATACCACTACCCTGTCTTATTGTGATGTTTTTATAAAAATTATATTTTTATAATATATTATTTAACCCAAGCAGTGTTTTTCATTTTTAAAATACATATTTAAATTACTAATATATTTTACCTATTATCAGACTATTTTGTTTTCTGTTATTCTATTTCTTTCTTTCAAAAGAACAAAATACTTATTCAGTTTTCTCAATGAAGGTCTAAAAATAATAAATTCTCAGTCTTTCTCTAAAAATTCCTGTATTTTTCATTATAAATTTTGACGGGTATATATAAAATTCTATCTTCTTGTGACATCTATTTTATGATGATAAGTTTGATGCCAATGTATCACTTCATTGTCAGTTATCTCTGTATTATCTCTGGTTATTAAAGGGTTTTTTGTTCATTATTCTCAATAAATGGAATAGGTATGAATATGTTTTTATTTATTGCTTTCATTATGTTGAGTGTATTGTCATAATGACGAATAATGTCCTTTTTGATTTTGAAACATTCTTAGTATCAAGATTTTGCATATTATTCTAGTAATTTGCCTAAAGTGAACCATAAACTTTTCTTTTTTAATATTTAAAAGCATTTACTGGTGTAAATATTTTAAAATTTTGATAACAAGATAACCCAAAATCTTATTAATTTTAATGTTTTCTATTTTCATGGAATGGAGATTTTATTTAGAGAGAATAGATAACAAGGCATACAATGAAAGCAAAGTTAAGTGTAGGTCTTAAATACTGTAACTCCAAATGATAAAAGTAATACGTGAATGTTGAACTAATAATCAAAGGTTTTGATACTGATTTTCTAAATAGTACAATAGCTATACCAACTAAAAAAATGAATTAGTCTAAAGCTTGATTTTATCATGTGAGTTTTGGACATTAATATGGTGTGTTCCTTAGAAGTGAAATGTATGTTTACAGGTCAAATTGTAACTTAGTCTCTTATTATTTCATATAAAATATACACATAATTTTATTAGATTTGTCTGTATTCCAGACAGCTATTGTTTTACGCATTAGTCAATATGTTTCCCCTGACATTTTTACTATTTGTGAAACATTAGTGGTAAAACATTCATTCATTCTCCTGTTATTTTTAACAAAACATATTTGGGGGGGGAGAGAGAGAGAGAGAGAGAGAGAGAGAGAGAGAGAGTGTGTGTGTGTGTGTGTGTGTGTGTGTGTGCGCGTGTGTGTGTGCATGCACGCATGTAGTTTAAATTCTACTTTGGTATTTTCAATATAGTAAAAACTACAATTTTATGAAAAATGAAGTTATAGGAGACAGCACATTCTCTTCATTAAGGATCCACCCCTCCTTCTTCAGTCCACAGTGATTGATTCAATGATTGGTATGTGACCCATGGCACATATACAAATGGACTTAAGTCCAGTTGGATTCAACCCATATTTGAAATACATGTTGCACCACCATATATGGTGGGGGAGAGGTATTAGAAGGGATGCTTCCACTTGACTTAGAAGTGGGTGGGTTGGGATAAATAGAATTCTACAAAATTGGTGAGAGATGGGATGAATATTGTGGCGGGCTGCAGGTGGTCTTCTTTGTCATCACTAGAAATGTCCTCCTTAAGAAACAAAACACCCCTAGCTGGGTGGCTCATGCCTGTAATCCCAGCACTTTGGGAAGCCGAGGCAGGTGGATCATGAGGTCAGGAGTTCAAGAACAGCTAGTAAATTTGTTGAAACCCCATCTCTATTAAAGATACAAAAAATTAGTTAGGCATGGTGGTGCATGCCTGTAATCTCTGCTACTTGGAAGGCTGAGGCAGGAGAATTGCATAAACCCGGAAGGCAGAGGTTGCAGTGAGTGGAGATTATGCCATTGCATTCCAGTCTAGGTGACAGGGCGAGACTCCATCTCAAAAAAAAAAAAAAAGTCTTTCAGTTAAAAAAAAAAACAACTGAATGCTAATAGTGCCAAGGAAATACAAATCAAAACAACATTCAGATATTTTCTTCAGGTGTTAAAACAAGCAAAATAGGTCTGCTGTATTTTTGTTTTAAAATTATATAATCAGAATTGACAATAATGTGGGATATTTGAGTTCTCATGTACCATATATAAAAATGTAAATATTAGCAAAATATTTTTGAAGAGACGTTTAGCAGTCTCAAAATGTTAAAGTTTCATAAACCTTCTGTTAGCAAAAGAAATGTCTTCTGGGAATACCTTTCCATATAACTAGTTTTAATAAATATAAATTTTTAAAAACAAGAATCATATCATTTATTTTTAATATAGTAAAAATCATGGATGACATCAATAACTTTAAAACCATAAATGATTAAAATATGTTTACAAACTAATATACTGATATAAAATTATGTACACATATCTTAATGTAGCATAATACTTATGAAATATTCAAAATATTAGAAGAAATATCTGGTTTTATATATCATATACAGTATGATACATTTTAATTTTTTAAAAGCCAAATTCATATCATTAGCTAGGTAGTCATCTCTCTGACTATAGCATTTAAGCTAGTGTGTTAATAGTGCCAATCTTCGTGTGGATGGATTACAGTTAGTTTTATTTCCTTCTTGTGGGTGCTTAACTGGAAAGTCTGAGTGTATGTGTGTGTGTCTGTTTGTGTGTGTTTAGAATTAAATTACAGGGGCCGGGCACAGTGGTTCACCCAGCATTTTGGGAGGCCGAGAAGGGTGGATCACCTGAGGTCAGGAGTTTGAGACCAGCCTGACCAACATGGTGAAACCCTGTCTCTACTAAAAATACAAAAAATTAGGCAAGAATGGTGGCACCTGCCTGTAATCCCAGCTACTTGGGGGGCTGAGGCAGGAGAATCACTTGAACCAGGGAGGCAGAGGTTGCAGTGAGCCAAGATTGTGCCATTGCACTCTAGCCTGGGCAACAAGAATAAAACTCTGTCCCCAAAAAAAAATAAAAAAAAAAAAGGGCAGGATGTGGTGGCTCATGCGTGTAATCCCAGCACTTTGATAGCCGAGGTGAGCAGATCGCAAAGTCAGGAGTTTGAGACCAGCCTGGTCAACATAGTGAAACCCCGTCTCTACTAACAGTACAAAAAAAAAAAAAAATTAGCTGGTCGTGGCGGCAGGTGCCTGTAATCCCAGCTACTCAGGAGGCTGAGGCAGGAGAATCATTTGAACCCAGGAGGCAGAGGTTGCAGTGAGCTGAGATTGCACCACTGCACTCCAGCCCAGGCAACGGTGTGAGACTCCATCTCAAAACAAAACAAAAAAAGAATTAAATTACAGGTCATATTTTTTTAAGTTCCTTAGTTGGTATATAGTTCTAACTTAGATAGTTTGTTAAAGGCAGGAATTATATTGACTAAATTTTTGTTTAGAAAATACTATTTCACACTTAAAGTAAATCTTGCAATTTATAATTATCTACTTATTTGGTGCAATAAAAAAAATCTGTCTTTACAAATAGGCGACTATCAATTATCAACAATGTTAGTTTCTAAAAGAGCCATAGGAGAGTAGCTAAATTACTAAATAATGGTTTCAATATTATTGTTGCAAAATGTTTAAAATTAGAGTTACTAATTTGAAATTATTTTTTTAATATTCTAGTTTAACCCATTTTTTTAATTTCAGAAAAGTTACTAAAATAACTAAAGAAAATAAAACAACACAGTAAAACTCCTATTTCAGAAAACAATTTATATTCTTATTATACACAATAAATGTGATTTCCACCTTATTTGTGAAGATTGATAGTATTTATCCTAAAATTTAAAATAATTTTTGGCATGCTAATCAGATAAATAAATGTTTAGCTTTAGAAGTGAGTCAATTCA